AAATTATTATCAAACACGTAAAGACTTTATCATATTTGGATATTTTATGTAACTACAAATAATTTTGGATAATTTATAGATATTTTTGTTAGAAAAAATTAAAACAATTATTGTAATTTTAAAATTTTTAAATAATTTAGATAGTTTTATTACTTTTAAAACAAATTTCTTGTCCATGTATTTTAAGTTTATTTTGTTTGGTATGGTTCGATTCGATATTTTATAATTGTTTGTACTAGTATAATTTAAAGAAAGCTATAAGAAATTTTTTTCTGAACAGAAAATTCAACAATTAGCGTTAATTTTATTGAAACAAAAATTTGGATTAATTTACTCTATTTGCAAGATAAATTCATCTTTGATTTTTTTGAATTGTAAATTCTCTCTTAAAATTATGTTGTTATTTTATGTTTGATAAAATTATTAAAAAGAATGTAAAATTTAATATTTTGTTAGTTTTTTAACTAATAAAATTATTTAACTAACTTTTATAGGTTTATAAATATTAATTTTTTTTAAAAAAGAATCAGCCAGATTCAGTTAGATTCAACTGTTACCATTTACATTTTAAGATATTCAGCCGCGCTCTGCTAATAAATCACTAAAAATTCAACCAGATTCTGTAATTCAGCAAAATTCACTTAGATTTTTTTGTTACCATTTAAACCCATGGTTTCAAAAACTCTCTCACATGTTTTTCAGTATTTGTAACAATTTTCTTAGCATGTTTTCAAAAATTTGAACAAATGTGTTATTTTTTTTTAAACTTGAATATGCATGTTTTTTAATTTATTGTTTTGGCCCAAAAAAAGGGTAATTAGCATATATAATACCTTTTACACAAAAAATTAAACATATAACATACTTTAAATTATAGTTAGGTAACTAACATTTACAAATGACTATTTTAGCCTTAACCTATTAATCATATTTAATTTTGAATAGAAAAATAATAATAATTTAAGTTTTTTTAAATTAAATAAAAGCAAACAAAAACCCTAATTTTTTGTCTCTTCGTTCTCCTCTTTTCTTATATTCAATTTTTGCATTACCTACTTCGTCGATCTCTACTGGTTTAGGGTTTATTTGTCGGCTCAATTTCTTTATTACCTTCTTCTCGGCCTCGATCTCTACTGGTTTTCTCCACATGCATTTAACACAGGGATAGTTAGCTATACGACCTACGTAGTTAACTATATCTACACAATACCCAGTAATAGTCAACTATACTTAAAACATGGATAGTTAGCTATAAGACCAACGTATTTAACTATATCTACGCAATAGGTAGTAATAGTCAGTCAACTAGATAGTTAGCTATATGGCGTATGTAGTTAATTATAGTTTTACATAAAGAAATGTGTTATCAATGCAGGAAAACTTCACCTATATTAACACTTAACACTAAGATCTAATGAACTACATATAATATATATCAATATAGTCGACTACTATAATCCAATATAGTTGACTACTATGATATATATACTATAATATATACCAGATCTAATGAGTCTTGTATATACTAGTATAGTTGACTACTATATATAATATATACCAGTATAGTTGACTACTATAATATATCTGTATAGTTGACTACTATAATCCATACTAGATCTCGTTTTCACCATTGATATTTTCGGCTTCGATCTCTACTGGTTTTCTTTCAAACGAACAACATAAAAATTACCATTTAATAGGCAGAAGAAAAGATACTTATCAATGATTGATATATTTTATGAATTTTTGTTCATGCAATTTTCTTTAACGAATTATAATTATTTTACTCTTTTTTTCACTCTTTAATAAATTAAATAAGAGCAATTTTGTCCAAATATTTTACCTCTCTGTTATTTACCTAATTTCTATTACACGTATGTTAATTTTCTAATTATGTATTTTAGAAGTGATATTAGGCTAATTTACCCAAAAAATAACGGTGGTTGATGGTTATTTATTTCACAAATATACTAACGAGTGGCCTAAGCAAAGTCCAAATAAGCTTCTCATGAACTCATTAAAATCCAACAAGGAAGAACATTGACGTAACGTAAGGCGGATTTCCTCCACGTAACCGAGGAATCCATTCCCAAGACTCATTAAATTCTTAAAGCTATTTTGATTTGATTCCTTTTGTAAAAGCTTGTAGTTAATGCTCTTGTTTGTTTCCAATAAACTTCCAAAAGAGAATCATTTTGTGTGGTTAATATATAATAACAATATCCTTTTAGAATATTTTTCGTTTGGTTAATATTCTTTTAGAATACTTTTTTATGGTTAAAAATCCTTATATTAATAAGCAATATCTTAGTCAGATTATTATTAATCAATAAAAATTAATCCAGCAGTAAAATAAAAAAAACATTTCAGCGGAGGAATAGTTTCCTCGCATTATGGTAGCAAATTCATTGTTTTCTTGTAGTGATGGTAAA